TATTATATATATATTTTATTATATTATAAATGCTTAATAACAGAGTATATTATTTTATTTCATCCATATATACTTTTAAGAGTATTTTCCAAAGTACAACATATCAATATGCAAAAATGACCAACAAAACACGGGAGTAAAAAAAAAACCATAACAATAACAAATATTGACATATTTTCTGAATTCGTTGTTAATGGCTTCCAATTATGTTGTGAATTTACAGATCCATCTTTACCCGCTGGCAAGCGTCGCGAAATTGATAACGTAATGAAGAAGGCACGGGCCAACACCACAAACGATTACTGGGACAAGAAACTGATCGAAGCCGAGGAGAAAGATCCGAATCGCTGGCGCCACACCGGCTACAAGAAAATGTACATTCAGGGCGAAAGCAGCTCCGGGGAAAGTGAACGCGACTCGGCACAGGCCAGCTATTCGCGTTATCCTGGCGCACCGGGCAACGCTGGTCCGCCGCCGTCGTCAGCGTCATCGTCCGCGCGTTACGGCCGCTCCAGGTCGCCGCATTCGCGAAGTCGCTCCCGTTTGCGCAAATCGCCGCCGTTGTCACCGCCGCCGCCGTCAGCGCATGCGCGTCGCCGCTCGCCGCCGCCGCAGTTTATGGATCGCAGGCCCGTCATGTCGCCACCATCGCCACATCACAACGGGCCGCCGCCGATGCGTGGCCGCCCACGCTCGCCGCCGATGCCGCCACGAAGCATGCCCCGCTCGCCCAACAATCATCACAACAGCAGCAGCAGCTCAGCTGCCGCGGACATGATGCGTCGTCCGGGCAACGGCCATGGCCGTCCGCGCTCGCCGCCCGAGCCAGTTGCCAGCTCGTCGTCATCTCAGCTGCGCCGCAAGCCGGGAAACTCGTCGCGTTCACCGCTCAGCCGGCGTCGGTCGCCGCCGCTGCCGCCGCCCTCGTCATCGGCCGCAAATTTGGACAAGCGTGGTATGGCTTCAGCGCACATCCTGCCCCGCTCCAAGCGTCCGCCTTCGCCACCGCCAAGGGTAAACAACAATTACCACAATTCATTGTTCAATTAATTTATTTTGTTTCTATTTGCTTGCAGCATTCGATGCGCTCGCGCTCGAACAGCTCCATGAGCAGCAGCTCGGATGATTCCTGTTCGCTCTGCTCGCCCAGTCATCGTCACAGATCTCGGTGAGTTGTTGGAATGGCTATAAATAAAATTTGTACGCATAAAATAATTACCATTTGGCTCTTGGATGAGATCAATCAACTCGCTGAAAGACATCTTAAGTAAATACAATAGAATTTAGTAAAAGATAAACAGAAGGCGCTTGTAAATTAAATTGTTTGCATAACATTTGCATAAGTTAATAGAAATTTCCGTTATACTATTCGACTCTTGCGATTAATCAAGGAAAATAATTGAACGAGTCTATATCAGAAGCTGTAAAAGTTAGAGACTTGTAATTTTGCATTTACCACTCGCAGAAAGTTTTCAAACTATATATCCTATATACCACTATTAATATAGTTTTGACTGTATAGAGTTTCGTTTTTTGTTATAATCCTCGCCCACTCCAAAAGTATTTCCTCTCAGTATTTCTTCCAATATTTCTTCCAAGTATTTCCTCTAAGTCTTTTATAACCGATTACTTTACTTGAATTCCTTATATTGCACTGCACGATTGACTCCCATCAGGCCTGGGCGACTGAAGAAATGCTACTCCCACTCATAGTCTGAGTCGCGCTTAAATGTTGAGTCGACCAATGAGAACACTCTCTGCTACTGAGGGCATTCTGGTTTCGTTTTACTCAAATAGAACTACGGCATGTAGACAACTGAAATGATCTCTAGTACTTCTTTGTCCCCTGCTCTTGTTAGGTAGACAGACAGAGAGGCAGACGGAGAGATGGGGAGAGAGGCAGATATACAGACAGATATATATTAATCTCATAACGCAGCTTAAGAATATGTGTATATAAGGCTAATTGGTTTCTCTCTCTTCTCTTTTGCAGTTCTCGCGGTCCGCGTTCTCCGCCGCCTAAGCCACGTGGCCATTATCGGGGCGCCGGTGCGCCACCGCCGCTGCCACCACCAGAGTCGCATGGTCGGTTGCATGGACGGCCCACAACGCCGCCGCCGGTGCGTGGTGGTGCTAGCATTGACAAATATCGTGAGGCCAAAATGCGGCACATAAGCCACGAGCGCGGCCTATCGTCGGATGTGCATATGAAAGTCGGTCGCGCGTCGCGTCATTCACCGCCGCCAGAGGATCCGCGCCTCAAGCATCGGCCGCCAGAGCCACCAGAGCCGGCTGCACCAGCAGCAGCCGCACCGCAGGCCAAAAAGAAAAAGAAGGAGAAGGAGGTAATTTGAGAGTATAAAAATGAATAATCAATATACTAATCCAATCTGTTCAACCCATCGCTGTTTACAGTTGCGTACGCGCGTCAAAATCGAAGGTGAGAAACGAAAGAAGCATTCGGTCAGCACGAGCGCCGGTGCTGGTGGCAATAATGCCAACTCGTCATCAGATTCGGATGATTCGGGCGGTTCCGACAGCGATGAGGCGACCCCAGCATTACCCTCATTCTCGGCCACAACGCGCCTAACGCTGTCTGAGCGCTTTGGCAAGATGGCTCAGTGGAGCATCGATCGCAGCAATATGGAGAATATGCGCATTACCAAAGATTCGGCGGGTGGTGCGCTTAAGGTGATGATCGAGGAGGGTCTGGAATCGCCGCCGCGTCGTTATTCGTACTCGCCGGCGCCGGCTGGCCACTTTCCCGAGGAGTTGGCCACCACAGCACCGTCGGGCATGCTGTCGTGGGATGATGTGCGCGTGCGTTACGAGTACTACAAGAGTCGCGGCTATTTGAGAGACTTGGATCTAAAGGTGGGCGGAACAGTTCAGTCACATAATTTAATAATAATTAAACAATTAAACATAATTTCTCGTTTCATTGCAGGACTACATCAAATGGGAGGAATGGTGGTATAAATATCAGGAGTGGTTAAAACAGGAACGCTATTACGAGTACTGGGATCGTAGTCAGCAGCTGCGCCGACGGCGCAAGAAGCTGCCAGTTACTCAGCGTTTAAATTAGTTAAATGCACTTATTTGTTTCCACTCGACCCTCAGACCTCGCCCTCACCACATTCATTCTGTTAGTTTTT